CGCTCTCAAACCGGGCACAGATGAAAAGTGTTGAGGATTGTGGCGAAATTTCCCGTAGAACGTTGCCATCTATCGCTAATGAACTGTAGTTAATCGAATGTTATACCGCTCGTAGGTTACCAGGGTTTCAAGGGCCGCACAGCTTTTTGGGGAACTGAGGAAAACTGCAAAAGTTTGCGTCAGAACCTGCTTCTAATTTTCAGGCAGCTAAGGGCAGAACAACGATGGCTGTCGAAAATCGACAAAAAGACGATGAAACTACCAATCAGCGACAGAGCCGCTATCCTTTCTGAACGGATGAGGCAGACAGCGCGATGAAATTACCGTACGTCTGAAAAGGCTCCAGTGAGAGTTTACAATTCGAACAACTTCATACTCAGAGGAAACTGTAGCAGCTAGTTGGTGAGGCCACAAGGTGCTAACTGGACATATTTGAACTCCCATAACGAAGCTCCAGGGATTTGGAAATCTCAACTTCTGCGGGTGGAAGCTATTCTATTCAGGTGTCAACATCACAACGTGCTCTCAACCCGGTGTTGGTGTTCTGGTAGAACCCAGCCTGGCTAAGATAATTATTTGAGGAATCCTGTTAGCGGAAAAGTAGCAATCCTCCAACTGACGTTATAACAGGGTATAGTTTTGACCCTCTGTTATAGGTCTGTGCACCCAATTTGGAGGAAAGATATGAATCCTTCTTATATGATCCATCATTCCAATGGGCGATTTTAATGTGCATGTTCGAACTGGGAAGACGTGATTGAAAAGAGTGGTCCTAGCATCCTCAGCAATAACGAAATCAAGTTTTTGCAATTATGTGCAAAGAATGGACTGTCTGTTATGAACATATCCGTTGATCATCGAAACTTGCGCCTGAATAAATTTTATATAGAAAGTTACACAGAGATGTGTAGATTACGAATTTGATAATGGATTTGACTTGCGACGCTCTGTAATGGATGTTCATGTTAAAAGATACTCAGAGCTGAAAACCGATCGTCATATTGTTGTTGACACCTTCCGTTTTAAACGGTGGAGTACCATGCGATGACCTGGAAGTAACCAGTGAACTAAGCGGGCAGCATTATCTCCTGCTGATAGGAAGGCAGAACTTGTAGGTAGTTAGGCGAAGGTTTGAACAGGTCCCAGTGATGCTGACTGATGTGGAAACTGCGTGGAAGTTCTACAGGAGCAGCTACCTCATGGTCGCAACCTGGGATTGCTCCGCTTTAAAACAGATTGGCTCTGCCACTGGAAGAGAAACGAACTTCCCGGTGGACAATAGTAGCGCAGCTGATTGCCAGCAAGTGGAAGGCTCCATTTCAGAGGTGGCATCAAAGGAAAGAGCCTTTAACTTGAATGCGGTACGAAGAAGCCCCTAAGGTGGCGACTAAGGGATTGCCCGAAACGGAGGCTGACTCCGGAGAGAAGTTCGGTGAGGCGTTCTAGTCAGATGTTGACGGCAAACAAGATGATATAGCAGGACAGTATGCCTCCGTGAAAAAATGGCATTCTGTCCAGATACCCTTTTACCAAGAAAAATTATATACAATGGCGATGGAGAGAGAACTTTGAGGAACAGATAAACTCTGAACAACGGCAGAAAGACTCATCTGAGGAGCTGCAGACAAAGGATGTTACAACTTTAGTAGGTGAAGTCACAGCAGCTGTAAAAAGCATGAAAAGTGACAAGGTTGGAAGAAAAAATGAAATCCGCACTGAGATGCTTAAGGTTTTAAGCGAAGAAAGCATTTAATGAAGGAGTTGCGCGGCCAAGCTGCTGCATTTTACATTCAACAATATTCCCGATGGAAAGCAGAGAAGAAAACTTGTAACTCGGAGTTGTCAAGGTACGAATCTTTTATTTTTCTCCCGCCGGTTATGACGTCGGCCAATTACGAATATAAAGAATGATTTGCACGTGAAGTATTCAATTTTTGACTCGGTTTTCCAGATATTTTGGCCATACCATATTTTATTCATTATCAACTAATAATGATCTAATTTTGTTCATGCCATTAAATGTAAATTAGCAAACGCTGCGTACAGCTGAACTATGTAGTCTACAAATCATTATTAGAACTTGAGATTTTCAACCGCAAATGAGGCAATAACATCCGCATCGCAACTCTGTCAGAAGGAATCAGTGGCCACTGTCCTCAGCTTTATTGTCGCTGTCACTTGAGTTTGGTCATGACCCTCGAAGGATATCGATGGAATTCAAGCGATTGGTTAGCCGACCACTCGTTACCATATCTGGACATGCTTCGTGTCAAAGGCTCTTCTTCAAGACCGGAAGCTAAGTCGACCAGTGATGGCTTCCAGTCGATGCCTTCGACTCTGCGCAATTCGCGCTGGTCAGCAGCCCGGTGAGCGAGCACCTTTCCGCTTTCGACATTTGCCGAAGGGATCGGCAGGTGTGATACACAGAGCTACTGTCATGAAGAAATCCATCGTTGAACTATGAATCGTTTGTCATGCGCCGTTTCATGCTAGCCGATGACGGCCGTTGGCATGCGCTGACCGAGGAGCGACGATTCGATGATCCGATACTATCCGATTCGACCGGTGGCAATCCGACGGTTCCAGCAGCCATCGATTTTATCGTTCGATCAGCAGAACGCAATGCGATTGGTCTGACGACGGTTCTTAATGAGCTCGCAGTGTGCGACGACAGCATTTCGCCTGAAAGCTCGTTGCAGAACGCCGAGAGGTAGATTGGTTGTGACCGCCGCCTTGAGTAATACGACGATGATGGCGAAGTTTCAGCTGCTGTGCTTCGCAATGGCGCCGTTGCTGATCGCCGCTGCCTCCGTTCCGAAGACCAGCGAACGACGACCAAGTAAGCACCAGCATGAAACCATATTAGCCACATTCATTCGCCTGTTTAGGTCTGTTTGACAACCTGCTCAGACTGTCGGGGGACCAGAATTACAAGGTAATTCAGGGTGGTGCGAATGGCGTGATAGCGTCGTCGATTGGTGAGGGCGATCGAGGTGAGGTGACCCGCGCCGTGTCCGCAATTTCTACCCCATGCGCAGGTTCCGGAGGTCAGACGTGGTGGCTTGCGGTAGCATGAGTTTGTAGCCATGGGTAGCCAACTCAAAGCCAAAGTAAATGACAGGCACTGAGGTGCTTCCAGAGGCATTTACGATCTTCTTCTGTAATTCGGTGGCGCCAAATGGCGATCTAGACACATTTCGAAATAAGGCTTAGTCGTTTGATGAAAACGAAATTCACTCCTGAAACATAGTACCTGCTGCACAGGCAATGCTCGAGCGGCCAAATCCAGCAGAGGTTCGTCTGAATTCGCCTGTTTAAGTAATCGCTCGACACTGCGTCAGCTAGTGGCTGAGGAACGAGAAGTTTGGTAGGGTAAGGCTACCGTTTTCAAACGGTTGTTCGGTTTTTAGACATAGAGAGGAAAGCGACTGATAGTGTTGCATACCAGAAAGTGGGTGTTATTTGAGGAGCGATTGCGCCGTGGTGGAAAGCACTTCGGCGCTTCGAGTTCGAATCTGAAGAATAGGTGAAATTTTATTTTTATCTCCCAATTCTGCAGTGCATTAATTCATGCCAATATGCTTCAGCGCGACCAGCCAAAAGACGGCAGGAAGCCAGTCACTGCTCTGCGACAAAGGTCAACATTGCATTCGGGTGTGGTCATGCAAAAGCGTGTGATAGTTATGATCGTGCTATCGGAGGCGTGCTTTATGGCAACAGCTTCTCTCGACCTTCATGATAGCTAATTAGTTCAGCAAACAATGTAATCCGTAAACTGGTAAATAAAACTCCATAAAATTGTCGCTGATTTAGAAACGTAGCTTCTCCTTGGAACACTGAGTTTGAGTTAGAGAGTTGTTTCGCCTATTGCTTCGTTGCTTCACACTGTCTACGCTCTGACCGTTCATTCCTCGTAAAATACCATTTCGAATGCGATATTTATGAGCAACCTCTAGACGATTTACTGGCAGTATTTTCACGACGTGTCAAAGAACTTGGCTTCGATCGTAGTTGATTATGCCATCATGTTGCAGCGAAACCTCGCTTGAATTCTTCATGAAAATACTCCTTGGCAAGGAAAACGAAAGAACGCCCGGAGTCTCGCTGAATAAGGACTAGCCCTAAGATGCAATAAATATGGCTAGGTAAGAAAATCGAATTCTCACATCGATTTCTTGGTATCTAAGCAAATCGTCTCTGTTTACAAAGGCCTCAACGGACGAATAAGACATCTGTCTGTTACTAAGGTTGTTGACATAATGCGGTAAGAATTTGTGCCAATTTAATGATGTTCTAAATTGCGTCATTCACAGCATTCGAAGCTGACCAACTCAAACGTAATTACGTGTGGTTATCCGACCAGAAAATAAAACAATTTTTAAGTGGATAGCGAGCGAAAAGTTTTCTAACAAGCTTCTAGAGACTTTATCGCATACTGAGCTTGTCATGAATGACAGGATAAACTATGAAGTGCATTGACACATTCTTCTTCCCTTGTCCCATCCTCACGGAAAGCTTCACAGCTCTGAGTTACGCGAAAAAATTATTGTGTTTGCATTTCCAATTCAAAGAAAAAGGCATGTTTATAAACGTTCATACGAAATTACTTGGTGCAGTGTAAAGAGAAACGTCATTTATGGCACACTTCCTTAACTGCATTTGCAGTTGCAGGACTGATCTTTACCTCGGTGCCTCCATGAGGTTTCGTACCTTGATCGTTGCTAGATCTCCAACTTGTGGACCGTTTGCTAGAAATGAAAAGTATATTATTATTGAAGATTCATATCTGCTGCTGTATCAAACGCGTAGTATAGTCTCTTGATTCCTTTCCATACAGGACTGTAGCGTTTTTCCGCATCAGAAAAGCGAACGGCTAGTGAACCGGCTATGAACCTTTTGATTGTGAGCTCAGCGTACCGACTGAGTTAGCGGATTAGAGGGATTGAAGCGATGAAGTGAAGAATCGATTTCTAAATTTAACTGCTCTTCCTCATTAGCAATATTCCAAAAATGGAAAGAGTTGTTGCTTGTCATTGCTGAAATTTTGTTAGAGCATACATTTGCCAGCGGCACCCAATGAACTTCTTTAAGGAGCGATCATAAGATAGCGACGGTGAAAGTTACAGTCAGGCTCCAATCCTTGATTAGCAGCCAAGATTCAAAGTTGACAAGCTGGAATGTCTAGAAATGTCTCAAGCATCTGTGCCTGCGTCACGATTGGTAGAAAATTCATGCCACTCTTTGATTATACAGGTAGTGAATTGGTAGAGAAAACTTGGAACATATATACATATACAAGGATATGTTTATTAACATTTTTTGGTTACAAGAAATACGAGGACCTGCCTAGACTGAAACAGACAGATCTTTAGGAGAAAAGTACAGAATGAAATTTAAGAATCATTACGGAAAGACAACTCACGTTCTTGAAAGAATAACTGAAACAGTGGAAGTTGTGCCCCGGAAAAACGACAGACCTTCTTCACGAAAGACAGTTGCTAGTTCGACAAAAAAAGGCTTGACTAACAGCCGTTAAAAAAAACAGGACTAATTTCATTTACGATCCTACAGAAGTCAGCGAGATACAGAAAAACATTTCGAATCGCTACTTAACCCTGATTTAATTATAAAGCAAGATTCTTTGTATGACATTATTCCTGGACAAAATTTGGATGCCGATGCTGGTTCGCTGATCCTTGAAGATGTGAATGAAACTCTGAACAAGACCAAAGATGGTACAGTGGTAAAAATTGATGGAATACAACTAGAACTAATTAAGCAATCTAGACCAAATGAAATGCTGGCATTGCGAATTACTTCAGATTTACGTGGCAGAAAGAGATTGTGGTTTCAATATTTTAGAAAGTTTGTTGCCCGGATCCAAATAACTACCATTAAATCTGCCATTCGTTTTTGTTCAAGTTTTCATGCATGTTATAAGGAAGAGAATTAGACAACCTGTTGAACTGATTTTGAATGGAGAGCAGCCTTGATTGAGGGCAGACATAGGCTGCTTGGACCAGACGTTCACAATGATATGGCTGATGGAAGAGAAGAGAGAATCGTATTCAAATTCTTTGCAATATTCGTCGATTTCACCAAGGCGTTTGACTCTCTCTGGAGAGGTGCCTTGTGGAAAAGTGACCAACTGTTTTGAATCTCCTCAAAGATTACCATTTTTCGGCACTTGCAGTGCAAATCGATGGCAAGTTAGCAACTTCTTTCGTGCAAAGCTTGAAGTAAGACAATGAAGAGTGGAATCTCCCTTGCCGTTTGTGATATTTCTTGAATGGGTACTCCACCAGCTCCGAAGGACACAATCCATGACTGAGGGAGGTTGGACCGCATCGGCGTAAGTTACTTTGCGTTTGCAGAAAATATCGTATTGATCGTAGACAACGTTGAAGCTGCGAAGTCACTG